TGCCCTTAATCTCAGCTGCAGTTTCCTTTATGGCACCTTTCCTTCCAACAGCACTCTTTTCTTCCTCAGAAACCTGCAGAGCCTCAATCTTTCCTTGAATGATTTTAGGCTTTCCAAGATTCCACCAGAAATCAGTCAGTTTACTAGACTAAAGCATCTTGATGTCTGTTATTCTGGATTTTCGGGCCAAGTTCCGGGAGAAATTGCTCACCTCCCCAAGTTAGTTTCTCTCAACCTCTCTTACAATTATTTTGACTTGATCCTTGAAACAACTACCTTGAGATATCTTGTTCAAAATTTGAGTGAGGTGAGAGAACTTGTGCTTAGTGAAGTGAACATGACATCTGTTAATCCTCGTTTCTTCATGAATCTCTCTTCTTCATTGACTACTCTTCGTCTTTTTTATTGTCAGTTAAGAGGAAACTTTCCAAACAGTGTTTTCCGCTTTCCAAATCTCAAGAGATTTAGTTTAAGTGGAAAGGGAAACCTCACTATTGATCTTCCAAGTTCCAATTGGAGCAGTCCTCTCCGAATTTTGGATTTAGGTGATATGGATTGCGGAAGGCGATTGCCAGAGTCTATAGGAGATCTTAAGTCATTACAGTATCTGAGTCTTGGCTGCAACTTTAAAGGTTCCATTCCAGCTTCCATAGGGAACTTATCTCAACTTACTTACCTAAGCCTCTCTTATAACAATCTTAGCGGGCAAATCCCACCATCACTTGCAAACCTCACCCAACTTACCTCTCTTTACCTTTCCAATAATCAGTTATCTGGTCCCATTCCAGCTTCCATAAGTGACCTAAGGCAACTTACTGGCCTAGACCTCTCTTCTAACAATCTTAGCGGACAAATCCCACCATCACTTGCAAACCTCACCCAACTTACCTCTCTTTACCTTTTCAATAATCAGTTATCTGGTCCCATTCCAGCTTCCATAGGTAACTTAAGGCAACTTACTAGCCTATCCCTCTATTCTAACAATCTTAGCGGACAAATCCCATCATCACTTGCAAACCTCACCCAACTTACCTATCTTTACCTTTCCAATAATCAGTTTTCTGGTCCCATTCCAGCTTCCATAGGTAACTTAAGGCAACTTACTGTCCTATCCCTCTATTCTAACAATCTTAGCGAACAAATCCCATTGTCACTTACAAACCTCACCCAACTTACCTCTCTTGCCCTTTCAAATAATCAGTTTTCTGGTCCCATTCTAGCTTCCATAGGTAACTTAAGGCAACTCACTGGGCTATACCTCTATTCTAACAATCTTAGTGGACAAATCCCATCATCACTTGCAAACCTCACCCAACTTACCTCTCTTGACCTTTCTTATAACTTACTTAATGGCACATTGCCACCTTGGATTTTCACCCTACCTTTGTTAGAGTACTTGTATCTCCTTCATAACCAATTTCAAGGTCAAATAAATCAATTCCAGCAAAACTCACTCACACACCTAGATTTGTCAAACAATAAACTCCAGGGCTCAATTCCTAACTCATTTGCTAATTTAGTAAATCTTAGTTATCTCAATTTATCATCAAATCATTTTAGTGATTTAGTAGTTCCTGACATGTTCTCGCCGCTTCAAAATCTAGAAATTCTTGACCTTTCTCATAACAACTTAATCGGGAAAATTCCAAATTGTCTTCCTAAGTCTCTCTCAGTGTTGAATTTGCAGGCCAATTACTTTGATGGAAATATACCCTTTGGGTTTCCAGAGGGCTGTGGATTACGAAATCTCAACTTACATGGAAATCAAATGGATGGCTTATTACCAAGGTCTTTGGTGAATTGTCGCATGTTAGAGGTTCTAGACGTTGGCAACAACAACATAAGTGATACATTCCCTCATTGGTTGGAATCTCTACCAGACCTTCAAGTGCTTGTCTTAAGGTCCAACAAGTTCCATGGTTCTGTGCAGAGCACCAAAGAAAGTCCATCTTTTCCCAAGTTGCGAGTTCTGGACCTCTCCAGCAATTATTTTGTTGGTGCTTTGCCTGTTCGGTACATTGAAAATTTTAATGCGATGATGGACCCTCATAAAGA